CCTGAGCTGTCCTTTCTCCCTCATATCCGCACCACAACTGGCACCGCCTTCCATACAGCGCCTCATCATGTCATTGAGACGTCTCAAAGCCCTTCAAGAATATACTGTAAAGTGAACTAACTGTATATTTTGTGGGTGAAACCCGGCAGCCAATTGTGAACAGCAGTGTTCCACAAACAGTCGTGGATTGGGTGACCAAATTATTATTTGAATCAAAGTATGTAAACTACTGGGCACGAGGCTTAATTTACTACACTTTCATGACTGGTACCAAAGACTAACATAAGCCTTCTAATGTTTAAACTGAAAATAATTAAACTATTAGTCGTCAAAATACTCAAACAATGTTAATAACTCACTCAGACCTTGTATTGGTTTATTATGGTGACCCATGTATGCAAGTAGGTAAATAATCTCCTATCAACTCATCTGTCACAGAAGCTGACGGTAAAAGTCATATATGAGATCCCTTCAGAGATGTCCCTTTTCAAGAATGAAAAGCTTGTACTTGTATGTCTGTACAAAGCTTCATTCACTTATGTCTCAATAGCCCTGGAATTAATACTTGGTAAAATCTGAATTCTTGCTGTCTCCTTACTTGTGATGAAAGCTTAAAGGTTTCAACTTCAAAAATATATATAAACAGAAATCGCAAGTCACAAATACTGTGCAAAAACAGAAGTTGTGTTCCCAGCGACTTGTTTTTGTACTGTTCTGTAGATTGCCTCCCAAAACTCAGATTACCCAAGACTTCAAAGCAAAGTGAAACAGCAGTTTTGTGCAAACTATACACCAACTTCCCGCCGCATTAGAAACAAATTTATGTAGCACCTTCCATAACGGGGAGGACATCTCAAAGCACCTCACACAGCTGACTTGTCACCTGAACTGGGGAGAATGAGAACGGCAGAGGTAGCCAAAGCACAAAGGTCAAAGAGATTTGAGGGTAAAGAGGAAGGGTTGAGCAAGGTGGAGGGACTCCACGATGGAGCTCCAGTGAACGGGAGCAGAGTTGCTGAAATCTTACCCATCAACGTTGAGTCGGAGTGGATAGGGGACGTGAAGCAGGTCTGAGCAGAGGTAGTGGCTGGGGCAATAAGATTCCAGGGCACAGATCTAGGATGGAGCTGTGCATTTTGTAGGTAGACACAGCAGCCAATTTTACCTGGGGGATTTTTGGCCAGAATAACCAGGAGAAACTCTCTTCTCCTTTTGAATGGTGTTATGGATTATTTAACGTCCACCTAAACTGACATACTAGTACCGTTTTAACGTCTTATCTTCCATTCTGTGAGGTGCTCTCTCCCCTCTGGGTTAGATGGTTGTGGCTCAAGCCCCACTTGAGGAATTACGCTCATAGTCCAAGCTGACCCTGGGGGAGCGCTGCATTGTCAGAGGCCAAAAATCTTCATCCCGCTGAGGGATGGAGAGCAGGAGAAGACAAGAGTGGATGGGAATGATGGGCTCGCAGAGCATGGTGCAAGAAAGAACACAGGCTGGAGAGCTCTGGATAGTTTGCAGCTTGTGTAAGAAGATGCTGGGGAATCCAGCAAGCAAGGTGTTAAGAGTAACCCAGCAGAGAAGGGTCTCAGCAGCCTGGAAAAAGGTCAAGAGGAAAAGTGGGAACATAGGCAATAATCAAAAAAACAAAGATCACAGACCCACTTGAATGCATAAAACCTGCATGAGTTTCTTTCCAAATTCTTTTAAGCTTTGACCATCTCTTTTTGTGGCTGAGTATCAAGAAATTATAAACAAAACGCAAAATAATACAGATGCTGGAAATCTGAAAGCAAAAACAGAAGTCGCTGGGAACACTCAGCAGCTCAGGCAGCATCTATGGAGAAAGCAAAGTGAATCAACATTTCGGGTGCATGACACTTCGTCAGAACTCAGTTTCCTTTCTCCATAGACACTGCCTGACCTGCTGAGTGTTCCCAGCGACTTCTGTTTTAGTTATCAAGAAATTGTGTTTTGTTAATTTGTTATCAAAAGTTGAACGTAGAAAGCAATGGTAACAGGTTGAATTTGGAGAAGGCAAAGGGGCCATACTAAATCTACATCTACTCTCATACTAAATCTACGTCTACTCTCATACTAAATCTACGTCTACTCTCATGCTAAATCTAAACCAGGATACTGAGCCCTTGAAGAAACATGGGATGACGATAAAGGATAAACAAATAATGCTTTTTGTAATAAGAAAATGAATATGCATCCCCGAATTTACAGAATTCTGGTTTATAAAAATATAAACAAAATATGCAGTCAATTCGCTTTACAGTATATTCTGTGAATCGCTTCAAAGACGTGATAAGGCGCTATATCAAATGCAAGGATTGTTATTAGTATTATTATAGTGTCAGACATACAAAATCAGTTTAAACACTAAGTGATTACCAGCTCTAAGACTTCCCCATTCTCTCCCGGAGTTTAATATCAGAGACAATGCCAATCTGACAAATACAAGTACAGTGCTGGAGGGAAGAACTACATTTAGAGGTGACACCTTTAAATCCAAAGTCACCTGTTCAGATAAATGTTAAAGATCCAACAGACTATTGGAAAAGTGGAGATTCTCCTACAGTCAACAAGACAAAATTGGTCATTCATGCCCCAGCTGCTTGCGGGACATTGCTGTGTACAAATTGGTTGGTGCATTTGCCCACAAAACCCACTATACTTCACAGTGAAATCCAGTGAAGGGCTTTGAGATGTCTCAAAATTAAAGGCAATGAACAAAATACAGGAATCAACAATTATCACAGACAAAGAAACTTGTATTGGAAGAATACACAGAGGAGCAAATAGCCCATCCAGCCTGCTTCCACCCAACCACCAAACCGGTTGTTTCCATTGGCCTGACTCAGTTGGTAGCACTCTTCCTGCTGAGACATATGGGCAAGCCCCACATCAGGGCTTCAAACTCACAACCTCGTCTGACACTCTAGTTAAAGGGGGAATGAAAAAGAGTGGGCAGTGGGCAGTCTCTTCAGAAGTGCTGTCTTTCGGATGAGAAATTAAACCAAGGTCTTGTCCGTGCCCTGTTAAAGATCACCTGAGATGCTTTCTGAAAAGAGAAGGGAGGTTCTCTCATCGACCTTTCTGGCCAAAAATCTCTCCCAGGTAAACACTGTCACTCACTCTGCAGTTGTTTGCGGGGATGTTGCTTTGCTCTTCTCTTTGACCGAGCCTTCAGCTCCCCTCTCGACTCTCTTCCCCCTCCTCGCTCCCTCCCTTCCCTCCCCTCACCCTGACCATTTCCCCCCTCCTCGCTCCTTCCCTCCCCTCACCCTGACCATTTCCCCCCTGCTCGGGTCATGACCCAACTGTGCAGCGCCTTGGGACGTCCTCCTGACGTGAAAGGCGCTTTATTAATGGAATCTTGTTGTTGTTGATGGACTGCCGTGTTCGCCCACAAAATACCTAGTCAGTCACTTTAAATTCTGATATTGTAATCAAAAGCTTTGAGACATACCCCCATGAAAGCTATAACATAAAACGCAAAATATCATTATCGACGCCGACCTTTTAAACCTCTTCCACACCCAACTGAGCCTGCCTCAGTCAGTCCAGCCCATTCCCTTCCCTCTGACAATGGGATGGGAGGAATGTAATAATCATAAATAATAATAATCCTTGTATTTGAAATAGCACCTTATCACATAGGAACATAGGAATTAGGAGCAGGAGTAGGCCATTCAGCCCCTCGAGCCTGCCCCGCCATTTAATAAGATCATGGCTGATCTTCTAACCTAACTCCATCTGCCCGCCTTATGCCCATATCCCTTAATCCCTCTATCCTTTAGAAATCAATCTCAGTCTTGACATCATCAAGATGTCTCCTCTTCGACTGTGCTTTCGATCTCCCCGTTTCCCCCTCTGCCCTCCACCCTCCACATCCCTCAGTTTGGGTCTGTAACTCTGTATGTTCAACGCCTTGGGACATCCTCCCAACATGAAAGGGGCTTTACAATTGTAATGTTGTTGTTGCTGTCTCAAAGTGCTTCACGGTAAATACTGTAAAGTGGATCAACTGAGTACGCGTGGGCGAAATGTGGCAGCCAGTTTGCACCCAGCAACGTTCCCACAAACAGGCACGGGGTGAGTGACCGATATTTTAATTCGGACGATTGTCGGCCAGGACACCGGGAGTGAGAAACTCCCTTCTATTTCCGAATTGTTAGCATGCACCCGAATGGGCCGCAGGCGGAGAGCTCGGATCACCGTCTCATGCAAAGGACGGCACCTTCTGATAATGCAGCACCAAACCCCCCCACCCCCAGCACTGCACCGGAGCACCCGCTTAGACAACCTGATCCGAGTCGTGCCGATGGGGCTGGAACCCACCACCTTCTCACCAGAGGCGAGAGTCCCACCACTTAGGCGGGTGGACACTCCACGGTTCAATGCCTCACCCGAAGGACGGCGCCTCCGACAGTGCAGCGCACCCCCAGCACCGCGCGGGAGGGTCAGCCCAGACTGTGTGAGACCAAACCACCCCCACACACCCACCCCACACACCCCCACACACACACACACACACCCCCACACACCCACACACACACCCCACACACACACACCCCACACACACACACCCACACACACCCCACACACACACACACACCCACACCCACCCACACCCCCACACACACACACCCACACACACACCCCACACACACACACCCCACACACACACCCCCCACACACACACACACCCCACCCACACCCCCCACACACACACCCCCCCACACACACACCACAACACCCCCCACACACACACACACACCCCCCACACCACACACACCCCCCCCACACACACACACACACACCCACACACACCCACACACACACACCCACCCACACACACACACCCCCACACCCTCCCGGATCAAATGTGCGAGTCGGGCTGAGAGCCAGAGAGGCTGTGCTGCTGCCCTGCCACAGGCCTGGGCTCTGCCGCCCCCCCTCCCCCCCTCCCGGCCGCCGGGGTTACTCACTTGAAGCGGCCCCCGCAGTGCTGGCACTGCTCGCCCACCCAGCCGGCCTGGCACACACACTGCCCGCTCTCGGTGTCGCAGGCGCCGTGCGCGCAGCCCCCGTCCCCGCACTCCTTGCCCTCGGCCCCGGGCGGCCCGCACCGCGGCAGCGCCGCCAGCAGCAGCAGCAGCAGCGGCGGGAGGAGGGCGCCGAGCGGCAGGAGCCTCCGACGGGGCGAGTAGCAGGACTTCGGGCCGCCATGACCCCGGCGACTCGGCTCTCGCTCCTCCGCCGCCATGTTCTCAACTCCACAGCCAACACACAAACCAACCCCACCGCGCGCCGCACCGACACACCAGGCACTGCGCCTGCGCCACACTCGGACACCCCCAGGCACTGCGCCTGCGCCACACTCAGACACCCCCCCCAGGCACTGCGCCTGCGCCACACTCAGACACCCCCCCCAGGCACTGCGCCTGCGCCACACTCAGACACCCCCCCAGGCACTGCGCCTGCGCCACACTCACTGACAGCTGGGCGCCAGCGGTCGCACTGCGCATGCGGGGCTTCAGAGTGACTCCCCTGACACTGACGTCACTTGGGCTGTTTTTGGCCATTGACCACTTGCAGAAACCCAACCCCAGTGTGAGCTCCATCCTAACCCGACACCGCCCGACACAGGGATCTCCCACACACAGACCGTCAGAATGGAATGCACTCTCTCCCTGGAGGGACACATCCTGTTTACCTAATCCTGGAAAATATTAGGTGCAGGTTGGCAAGAGCCATGGCCTGGGGACTGGTAACTGCTGGAGTCTAACCAACTAAACCACATCGCTTGCCATTGATATTGCAAGCTTTCCCACTGTCCAGCCAGGACCACCCCAACCATCAGCGCTTTGGTTTGCAGGGTTAACAGGAGCTGAGTCGGATGACTCTCTGCCCCCAGTGACTGGTCTGCCCTTCCAGGTCCTGCTGATGATCCAGGCTGGGCTGTGCTGTCATTAGCAGTGCCCTGGAGTACTCCCCAGCTCAAGAACCTGACTACCGAGACTGCTACAGAGGGCTGGCTCGATTCCGCCATTCTGACAAGCAAGTTAGCTTGGAGCAACTTCAGCTCCAAGGAGACCCCACTTACCTCTCCACCCCAAGGAGAATCACACTCACAGCATGACACTGACTGTCACGCTCATAACAACATCATCAAAATTACATTTGTAAAGCGCCTTTCTCATCGGGATGACGTCCCAAGGCGCTGGACAGACAGAGTTTCGGACCCGAGCTGGGGGTCGGTGTCGGGGAGGGCGGGGGAGTGGGGGAAGCAGGGAGATCGAAAGCACAGTTGAAGAGGAGGGCTGTGAGATGGGTCTTGAAGGAGGCAAGGGAGGGAGGGGGTGAGGCGGATGGACAGCGAGATGGAGTTCCAGGGTGTGGGGGCAGTGGCAGAAGGCCCACCCGCCAATAGTGGGGCGAGCGAGGCGGGGGACATGAAGCAGGCCAGAGCCCGCTGAGCGGAGGGAGTGAGCGGGATGGTAGGGGATTAGGAGGTCACAGAGGTAGGGTGAAGCAAGTCCACGGAGGGCTTCGAAGGTAAAGACCAGGATCTTGAACTGTATCCTCTGTGTGATGGGAAGCCAGTGGAGTCGGGCGAGGATGTGGGTGATTGGGTCATGGAACTTGGTGCGGGAGAGGACGTAGGCTGCAGAGTTCTGGATGATCTGCAGCCTATGGAAGGAGGAGTTGGGGAGGCCGACAAACAAGGGGTTTGCATAGTCAAGCCTCGATGTAATGAAAGTATACTGTGTTGTGAGACAGTGGCGGAGCTAGGCGATGTAGTGGAGATGGGGAAAGGCAGAGCGGGTCATGGAGCAGATGTGGGGTAGAAACAAGTTGAGGGTCAAACAAGATGCCAAGGTTCTGGATTGGCTTAGTGAGCTGGAATGTACATCCATGGAGGGTGATGCTGTCAGCGCCTGAGGTGAGGAGGCGCTGATGGGAGCCAATCAGGAGAGCCTCAGTCTTGTTGACGTTCAACTGAAGAAAATTAACTCTCATCCAGGACTTGATGTCTGACAGACATTCTGTCAGGACAGCAGTGGTCCTGGAGTCAAGGGTGGAGGAGAGAGATAGAATTGGGTGTCATCTGCATACATGTGGAAGTTGATCCCATGTCTGCGGATGATGTCACCAAGAGGGAGAATATAGATATTGAAGAGGAGGGGACCAAGGACAGAGCCCTGAAGAACCCCACGCGAGATGTTGCGGGGTCTAGAGGAGAAACTGTTTGTGGAGATGAAGTGGAGGCAATGTGAGAGGTACTATCTGAACCAGTCAAGGACAGAGCCATGAAGATTGAGGTGAGAGGAGAGGTGGTGGATGAGGATAGAGTGGTCGACAGTGTCGAAGGCAGCAGAGAAATCAAGGAGGACGAGGAGGCAGAGTCGCAGGTGGACAGAATGTCATTTTTCACTTTGACCAGGGCTGTTTCTGTGCTGTGGGTGGCACGGAAACCTGTTTGGAGGGGTTTGTGAAGGGAGTGGCGGGAGAAGAAGGAGCGAAGCTGGGAAGTAACGACTTCCGGTATGGGCCGGAGAGGGAGGGGGTGATGTGGAGGGGGTAGCAAATGGAATGGCAGAGGCAGCTGAATGGATACCCTCGGCTTTGGATTTGAGGAAGTCCAGAATCGCCTCGCATTTGGCATTTAAGGTAGAAAAGTTAGTTGAGGGTCAAACAAGGTTATTTAAAGTGCAGAAGAAGGCCATTCAGTGTATTGGGATTGTGAAGGGAGTGGCGGGAGAGGAAGGAGAGAAGCTGGGAAGACAAGTTAGACAAGCCCTCACATGAGTACTTCTATGTTTTACTCTATTTCTGTTTGATCATTTGTTTCACCAGTGGCCGTGGCCAGTTGGACCTTCGTAAGATGTGACCTTTTGAGGAATTCTGGTTTTCACTCTGTATTCCTCAACTTGCCACTTATATACAGGATGGTCTTCTTCTTTAATAAGTATAGTTAAACTCCAGCAGTTACCCCAGTGCACACTCTGAGGTCCCCAAGCCTTAGCGTTTGCCGACCTATACCTAATACTCTCTGGAATGAGGTAAACAGGATGTGTCCCTCCAGGGAGAGAGTGCGCATTCCATTCCAACAATCTCTCTCTGGGATTTCCAGGTGTAGGTGGGATACATGGAGTTCTCAGTTTAGTTTGGATACCATTAAGCATGGTGATGGGTTTCCACATGTGTCAGAGACCCAGCTGACCAAGGGTAAATCTCGACCCAGGTTGAATTTCTCCCTGCCTGAGTCCAGTAAACTCCAGGTAGTAATGTATAACTTGCCATCAGGAGGGATCTCTGAGCTTCTGTCACCTTCTTTCTGCCTCTGGATCTTGCTCTGCTCAAGAGCTGGACAGCTGGGGAATCCAAATGTACGAGATATGAGTTTTATTTATGATGTGCTCCTAAAGCAATAAAAAGAACAAAAAACATTGCAGATGGTGTATGACCAGAGCCTGGTTGAATTGACAATGAAGAAACACACAGATGGTACCTCACTTTAATGCTTCATCCAAAGTACGGCATCTCTGACAATCTAGTGCTCCCTTACCATCAGTCAGCCAGACTCCACTCACAAAAGCACTGTGTAGGCTTTAATGTGTGGTCCAACAGAGACTGAACATTCACAAATAATAATCCTTTAACAATAATAATCCTACAATAATAATCATAATCCTTAAACAATAATAATCTATGCTTTAAATAATAATTGTTAAACCGTTAGAATTCTTAAATAAATACCAGTGTCCTGGCCGATGAATCCCTCAAATAAAATTGGTATTGACCGTGCCTTCAGCTCCCCTCTCGACTCTCTAAACCCTCCTCGCTCCTTCCCTCCCCTCACCCTGACCATTTCCCCACTGCTCGGGTCCTGACCCAACTGTCCAGCGCCTTGGGACGTCCTCCCGACGTGAAAGGCGCTCTATAAATGAAATCTTGTTGTTGTGGTCGCTTACCCCATGGCTGTTTGTGGGACAATCTACTTGTGTGCAAACTGACTGCCGTGTTTTGCCCACAAACGTGAAGTTCTGAGATGTCTTGCTGAAATGATAAGGCACTAAATCAAATGCAAGAATCATTATTATTTTATTATTAATAATCCTTAATAATAATTATCCTTACCTGATATACTGCTATATTTGATATATAGCACCTTTCACATCGGAATGATTCAAAGCACTTCTCAGGATTTATTGAAAGTACAGTGATAATGTATTTTGTTGACAAATGCGGCTGCCAATTTCTGCACAGCAATGTTGTTGGACAGGACACTGGGAAAAACTCCCTTTTTTTAATTGTACCGCAGGATCTTTAACATCCACCTGAACTGGCACAACTGAGAGCTCGGTTTAAAGTCTAATTTGAAGGTCAGTACTGCTCACAACGAAGTGCTCCCCACCCTCTCCTTACTGCAGTTCCACGGTATAGCTGTCTGTGGGAACCTTGCTATGTTTTCCTTCAATAATAATAGTAATCCTTGCATTTGATACAGTACATACAACATCAAGTTATCTTTCAAAGACTTTCCACCTAAAATGCAGTTAGCCTCTGTATTTTGTGGATGAACTCAGCTTCCAATTTGCGCACAGCAATTTCCCACAAACATCCGTGAAGTAATTTTGTTTTCTCTTTCTCTGGGGGATTAATGGCCAAGGCAACCGTGAAGCAATTTCAGATGTTTCAACAAACTAAATGCTGTATTAAGTGCAACACGTATTATTGTTATTATTATTACTGGTATCAGTCAGCCAATCTGCCCCCGCTCTCTGGAACTCCATCCCAGAGTTCCTCTACCTCAGCCCTGACTCATGAAGCCTGCCTTAAACAACAACTTGCATTTACATTGCATCCTTCATGTGGGGCAGGGTCTAGGAGCACTTAACAGTGGTGGCGCCTGATGCCCAGCCAGAGGAGGGAGGAGATGACTGTAAGCACGGTTGAAGAGGAAGGTTATCAGTCTTGATCTAAAAGAGGGGAAGGAGGAAGCAAGGCAGAGGGGTTGGGGGAGAGTGTTCCAAAGCTTAAGATCACATTGAACATGTTTTTGGTCATCTTTCAACTCCTCCCTCGCCAGCTTTCAGTGCCAGTCAGCTGTGTGAAGCACTCCCGACGTGAAAGGTGCTGTATAAATATACAACAACTTGTGTTTAGATAGCACATTTTACACAGGGTAGCATTTCGGAATGCTTAAAAAACGTAAATGTTTTTGTCAGCTGTTATACATCCAAATTGTTTCCTCCTTGAACCTCTTTCGCTATATCTGCTTCACTCTTTGATTTTTTTCTTTTTTCATTTTTGTATCAAAACAGTCATTATTTTGATGTAAAACATGCCTGTG